CATGGGGCTGGCTTGGTGACATGGTAGCTGCACATGCTCCGCTTGGGTGGCCCGGGATTCACAGGTTTGGATCCCAGGGGTAGACCTACACACCACTCATCAATCCATGCTGTGGTGCCATCCCACATACAAAATAGAAGAAGATTAGCACACCTGTTAGCTCAGCAACAATCTTCCTCACCAAAAAAAGAAGAAGAAAGAAAGAAAGAAAAATCATAAATAAAAGACTTTCTAAAATAACTAGGTAGACATAAAAGAAAATCCACCAGAACTTTTGGCAAGGAAATATACAATTGTTGAAATTTGAAACTCAATGAGTTAGACACAGCTGAAGAGGAAAATGTAGGCTAGATGTGAAGACAATATCAAGAATGCAGCACGGGGTGAGGTGGGGCGGGGTAAAATAGCAAAGATTAGGGATATGAAAGACAGAATGTGAAGATTTAACATTTATTTAATCAGAATCCCAGAATGAAAAACTAGAAGGAATGGAGGCAAGAGGTGAAGAGACTATGTTATAGTCTCTTAGATTATCTTATATATTATAGCTGATAATGTTTCAGGATTAATATAAGACATGAATCCACCAAGAGAGGAAGAACTGGCATAAACATGTGTCAAGTTGAATCACTGAAAAGAAAACCAAATAGAGAAAGTGCAACATAAACATGTATCAAATAAGATAAATGAAAACCAAACCAAGACACACTATAGTATAATTGCAAAAAGCCAGAGGAAAAGGCCATATTAAAAGCACTGAGAGGGGCCGGCCTGGTGGCACAGCAGTTAAGTGTGCATGCTCCACTTTGGCGGCCCAGGGTTTGCCGGTTTGGATCCCAGGTGTAGACATGGCACCGCTTGGCAAGCCATGCTGTGGTAGGTGTCCCACATATGAAAAGTAGAGGAAGATGGGCACGGATGTTAGCTCAGGGCCAGCCTTCCTCAGCAAAAAAGAGGATTGGCAGCAGTTAGCGCAGGGCTAATCTTCCTCAAAAACAAATAAAGGCACTGAGAGAAAAAAGAACTTTACCTACAAAGGAAAAACAAGTAAGCCAAGGAATTTTCACCAGCAATAATTGCAGCCAGAAGACAGTGGAATATCTTCTAAATGCTGAAAGAAAATAACTGTCAACCTGTAATTATGTGTCCAGGAAAATTATCCTTCCAAAACAACAATGGAATTAAGACATTTTTAGATAAATAAAAACTTTCCTGTTTGCCACTTTCATTAGATGAACTTCTAAAGCCCACTTTTGGATGAAGGAAGTGACCAATAAGAAATACTGAGATGAAAGGAAAACTGGTGAGCAAATAAAGTGATAAACATTTGGGGTAATCTAAAGAAATTTGCTCTGTAAATAATAATAATAATAATGTCAAATTTGTGAGGTTAAAAAACACAACTAATATCTTATACGATAACATACGAATCAGGAGGAACGGGATTAGCATTAAACTGTTCCAAGGTCCTTGTATTGTTTTGAGGGGGTTAAAATATTAATTTTAAATCTTTTCTTCTTTTCCTTCTTCTTCTCACCAAAGCTCCCCAGTACATAGTTGTGTATTCTAGTTGTGGGTCCTTCTGGCTCTGCTATGTGGGACGCCGCCTCAGCATGGCCTGACGAGCGGTGCTGTGTGTCCACACCCAGGATCCGAACCAGTGAAACCCCAGGCCACCGAAGTGGAGCACATAAACTTAACCACTGGGCCCTGGGCCAGCCCCAGAGGTTTTTTTTTAACATCACTATTTATGTTTGACTAAATGAATGTTTAACTGTCCCTTGGGTTTCAGAATTTAGGAACAATTTAAATGTAATATTATTACTTTTAAATGTCTTTAAGAAAAGTATTCATGATAAGATTTCAAGAGAAACTATCCATAAGATATTTACAAAGTCTAAATGCTTTTATGCATTAATGCATTTAAATTCTCACAACAGTTTTCTGACAATCTCCATTTTACAGGTAAAGGAAAAAAACCCCACAGAAACATGAGCCGTAAGTCATGTAACTAGCATGTGATGAAGTTGGGATTGGAGCTCAGCCTGGCTCCAGAGAACGTGAATTTGATGGTCATCTTCTACATTATCTTAAAGACTCAAGGAATAAACACAGAATGTAGAAATTCCAAACCAGTGGAGGGAGGGAAAGGCAGTAAGAAATAAACAAACTTAGCAGTCAATCCTCCTCTCTACCCCGTGCAAAGGAAAAAAATACAAGAACTATAGAAAAAGGGGGTCAATAGAAGATAGAAAGTAAAGACTGAAGGGAAAAACTTTCCAATATGTAAGAAATCACTACATGAATGAACTAAACTCTCCAGTTAAAAGATGCGAAGTAGTTTTTAAAAACATAGCTATATGCTATTTACAACAGAAAGATGTGGAAAACGTAAGATATATCAGGTATATAAAAATGAAAACAAGATTGAGGTAGCTATATTGATAGCGCACACAATGGACTTTAAGATAAAAAAAACACTATTGAAAATAGAGACGGTAGCCACATAATGCTAAAATCTACAAGGAGAAATTGATAAATCCACCACCGTCGTGCAGATATTTCAACACCCTATCACTTATTGATAAGTTATTGATAACTCTGTGTATATAGATAGAGCTAGATATATAGATATACAACATTTAGAGATTACAATGTTGTCATACGACAATTAGAGAATACACATTCTTATCAAACCCTTAAGAAATATTTGCATAAATTAACCTGCGTTCCTTAATACAGTTCAAAGAATTTGTATTATCTAGACCAGGGGTTGAAAAATTTTTTCTGTAAACGGCTAGATAGTAAATACATTCACTTTGCTGGTCAATGTTGCAACTACTGTTGCAATTAACTCAACTTTGCCACTGTCACGTGAAAGGAGCCATGGACAAAATGTTTATGCAATTCAACAATCTTTTCCTCCTACAGGAGCAAGGATAGCAATTAAGCAAACGGCTGTGTTCTTATTCCAATAAAACTTATTTAGGCATGCAGGATTTGAATTTTACATGATTTTCACACACCTCAAAATATTATCTTTCTTTTTGTGTTTTCAACAGTTTAAAATGTGTCAACCATTCCTAGATCACCAGTTGTAGAAAAACAGGTGATGGGCTGGGTTGGCTGACCCCTGATCTAATCCATAATCTCTGCTTACAATGCAATACCTTTAGAAATCAATAGCAGACTAATTTTTAAAGATTTAAATTTAACTCAATTTTAAAGAACAGCACATTTTAATTTCTAAATATTAACTTAAATAAGTGGGATTTTAAAACAGATGTATAAAGAACTCATGGATCAAAGAAGAAATCATAATGAAAAGTTTAAAATCCTTGGAAGCGAAAGAAAGATAAATAAATTGTGGTATAGTTGGATCATGAAATAGCCTACAGCAGTGAACATGAGGACGCAACGGGTGTGTTCCACAGCATAAATTACTCTTAGAAACATCAAAGTTGAGTGAAGCTTGCAGAAGGTTATGCACAATAAGTTGTCCTTTTTACAAAGCTCAGAAACAAGCAAAAGTAAATGACACGTTATTTAGGAACATATATACATTTGTGAAAAACTAGTGTGTAGACAAAGGAAGGTTTATCCTAAAATTCAGGATAGTAGTTACCCCTGAAGGGCAGGAAGGAGGGGGCTGAGATAGACAAATGGCAATAGTATTGTAAGATTGGGACATTGGTGTTCACCTTAACTACTATCCTTGTTCCTGCAGGAAGAAAAGATTGTTGATTGCACACAGCGGGGAGGACATTAATGCAAGGAGACACCTATAGCTAGGGAAAGGCTGAACAAGATGCGACAGAATGACAGAAGAGGGACAAGGCAATTGTTGCTCTAATTTGTGATGGAATTGATCCAGTCACATTCTTGTATCTACCTGAACACAGGTGATGAGAAGGCCTCATTGCCTATTATCTCTGACTTTTGAGTGACTGATCAGCTCTGTAGATAAGGCACTCCTTTCTGAGAGGGACCACAGGTATCCTGTTCCTAATTTTAAATGTGAAAATTGATTTTTACGACCAGGTTTATTTCCTCCAGAAATTCTAATGCTTCTGCATAATTGAAGAAAATTTAATTTTTGAATCTGAGAATTATTGATCCATTTACTAGTAACACCTGAGTATTCTTTAAAATGCAAAAGAGATATCATTTGTTTTATTTTTTTGAGATAATTGCACTCCTCATTCCACAGAACTGGAAATTTCCCATTTGGAAAAAGCTCTTATCTTCCCATTTACGGCTTTTTCTAATCAAATCTAGGCTTTTTGTTTTTCTACTTGTGCCTAAGCAAGAAAGAAGTTGAGAATCAAAGGAGAAAAAATAAAATAACCGTGGGAAAAAGGAAACCTTCAAAAACTCATCAATTTTATAGTATAGCCATAAAATGGAATTTTGTCTCACGATTGAAAAGAATGAGGTGGTGACCTTAACTACTAACTTAGATGGACATCAAGATATGTAGCTGTTAAGCAGGGAGGAAAACGCCACTTGCAATACGCTATGTAGTATGAATGAATTTATGTGAAAAGGAATAACAGCTAGAGAAACATAAGCCACAATTTAACAGTGTTTCATGGGCAAGGGGATAACAGAGCAGCTAGGAGCTACCTTCACTATTTCAATTAACATTTTTCTATAATACTTGGATTTTTAATTGTGTAACTGTGTTATTTTGTTGCAGAAAAAATTTAAAGACTAGTATTTTATTATCTATTGTGAATTTTGTGTGTTTCTGAATTCTTTACTCCCGCTAGAACTCAGCTAGAGTTTGAAAATTTCCATCGCTAATGTCTAAAGTTGCATTTTTGTGTCTTTAGGTTTACTGGGCTAGAATATCCCTCAGGCTATTTAACAATTCCCCTTGGGTGTGCTCACTGGCATTGCAAACACAGCCTCTGTTTCCTTAAGTTGGCACCCACTATTTTTTTTCATTCACAGCAGATTCCTCAAGGGGGCAAAAACAAAACAAAACAAAACTCCTGTTACAAATTTGGAAGTTTTAAAAAGCACATTCACATCTCTGAATAACTTTCTCACTCAGATATCCTGGGTACTCAAGCAAACTCTAACAACCTTAAAAATAATTTCCCAGATAATAGTACACAAATTCAAGTTGCAGCAAGGCAAGCACAAATATATCCCCCAAATTCCAAGTCTAAATTCATCTTAAAGGACTCAGAAATACACACACACACACAAACACAGGAAATCTCTAAAGTGTAGTATAAACACTTGTTGACTTTCCAAATACTCTGCAGCTTTCCTTTCCTTTATGAACACTTTCTCAAAATGCAAAGCTTTCAAAGTATTTTCCACACTCGCCTATCTTATCAAGCAAGCATAGCACTTCTCATTTTATATGGTTACTATTTTGTGCATTTGTGACTGTATTACACAGGTGCACAGCCCCTTAGCCAGAACCCGCACAACTGGATGTTTGGACTTTGTAAAGGTAACGTGGTGCTTATACCATACATTCATAACACCTTCAGCGGGGTCTGCAATGAACACATTGTTTCTGCACCCAAACAGTCACGTTAATTAGAATGAAGTTCGTGAGTAGCCTCAGATCAGTTCAGATAAGATCTGCTGCCAGACAAGGGCAAGTCAGGTCAGGCTTCGCTACCAAATGAAATATGAAAAACAAAAAAACCAAGCAACTTTTCTAGAGTCTTCTGTATTAGAGTCTTTCAGTATTCGAGACTTTTGATTTGACATCGCCGATAAAGTGTTATGCACCTGTATAGTGGTGCCAAAAAGGGTAACTGCGTTGTTTGCCCTGGATTTGGAGGCCCTAAATGGCTATCATGGTGAGTCCTTGGTGTCTGCTTCTTCAAGTCTTTCTGCCTCCTGTGCAGTCTGGCATCCTTCCATTGGTTGTTGCTGTAACTTCCTCTTCCACCTTCCCGCCCTGATAATTTATTACTTGTAATCTGCCATGGCTGGAAAAAATACATAATGAAATCTGAGTAAGCAGGTTTTGCATAAGAAGCCCCAATGTTATTTTATAATAAAGTATATAAATTTTGCTCACATTCTTGATAACACCTATTTCAACAATTTAGAGGCTTTTTGTTTGCAAATGAGTGTCACCTGTGTTTACATTATTTGAGATCGCTATCCTTTAAAAATTAACTCCAACTTCCTGCTCTAAAAAATAAGGAAATACAGAGCTTCGGTTTATAGATATCACCTGCTTTCAGGGATTGACATCTTGTGAAATCATGTTATTCTAATATATGTATACATGACCTTTTGGTCCTATGAAAATAAGCTAACTTCTAAAGTTTATTCACACTTGCATAAAAAAATAGGTTATGACAATAAATACTGAAGTATTTATAAAACCTTAAAGTGCAGTCTCAAGGTGATGTTTCTCAATAATCACAGTCAGTTGCCTGCATTCTTTTTCTTTGCTCAACTTGCAAGTCCTTCTGTATTCTATTCATTAGGGTGCTCCTGATTTAAGGTGTACCATAATTACGCACTCACAATCAAAACGGTGCACTCATTTATTAGTGCTGCCTGTACGAGCCTTCCCCCAGCTCCAATATGTAGAGCCCTTGAGTGGCATTGTCCGCACAGGCCACACTTACCACTGCAAGAAGAAACCTGGGAGGAGTGGAGGGTCATGACTGGAAATCAATACAGGAATGTCCATGATTCAAGGTTCCAGGAGGAAGTAACCAAAGCCAGTAAAAGATCAATACCAGGTGCTAAGAGAGCATGGTGATGAAAGAAGAGTATTGAAAGTGGTGGGAACCCAATCAGCTGACTTAACCACAAGGAAGCGTCTTAAGGGCCTCTGATTCATCCACTCAACATAGGTCCAAGCTCAGGGATAGACTCTGAGAATACAAAAAGGAGTACAAAATGGTCCCCACCCTTGAGGGCTTGCAGTACAAGAAATTAGACAGACATAAATAAATAGTGACAACCATATGCCGTGTTGTAACAGCACAATGTAATACCAGCCACTATCTAAGCACAGAGAAATGAAGGCCCAACTCTGCTGTGCAAAATCAGGCTGGCATCACGGAGACTCGCTCTGCCACGTTTCGCTGAGTGCCTTCCAACTTCCTTGCTGTTCCAGCCTGCTGGCACACTTCCATCACAGCGCCTTAGCACTTGCCGTTCCCCTGTCCTGGAATGCTCCTCTTCCAGATATCTACACAGCTCACCCTCTCACTTCATTCAGGTCTCAGCTCAGATGTTACCTCATCAGAAGAGACTTCTCTGACCAATCACCCTATTTAAAACTGTACCCTCAACACACACTCACACAAGTTCGCTCTCTTACTCTCTCTCTCCCCTTATTGTCTTACAATGCCTTTTTTTCATAGCACTTATCACAACCTGAAATCATCTTGTTCAATTATTGGTTGTCTGTTTCCCTCACGTAAATTCTGTGAGAGCATGAGTTTATCAGTTGTATTTATTATTATATTCCACTACTGGGCAGAGTTGAGTGAAGGGATGAATGAGGAGAAATTTGAGCTGAGTTATGAAGAACATGTAGCAGTTTGTCAAGGGAACAAGGAGTGTGTGTGTGTGGGAGGCATGGAATGTACATAGGCACAAGGATAGTAAAAAGGAGTCAAGGGACCTTTAGAGGAATTTAGAGAGAAATACAATGATCTGTGCTTGGCACGCAGTGGGTTTTCATCAAGTCTTATTAAGTAAATAAGTGAGCAAGTGAGCGAGTGAGTAAACGAGTGAGTGAGTGAGTACATGATTGAATTAATGATCAGGTTTTTGTCTTAGAAAATGTGTGAGCACTGGTGGAACAGAAGTTAAGAATGGGAGACAATTTAGAAGGCTTAGAAAGAGAAAAATATTGAAGGCTTGAACTAAGAAAGTGGGAATAGCGAAGAGAGACGACACTTGAGGAGCAAGTAAAATTCCCCCACGATTGAATGTGGAGAAGTTGATGATGAAAGAGGATTCTGATGTGGGTGCCCATTGGTTGGTGGTACCATTGACTACAAGGTAAAACAAGATTTGGTGAAAGGAGGCTTCATTGGGGAGATAATCCATTTTATGTTGGACACCTTGGGATTGAAGTATCTTTGTAATAGGTGGAGACAATTAATATGTATTTGGAAGTGTAGACCTGGGAGTAAAGTCAAGACAGAAGACAGATTTGGAATAGGAAGGATGCCTTCACCTTCAGGAAAATATGTTAGAATAAGGAGACAAAATTTAAGGATAATTTAGGAGGTCAAGAGGCAGAGAGAGCAAAAGGAGTCTCCACAGAAAACTGAGAAGCAGCTAATAGGGTGATAAGATGAAAACTAAGACCATGATCCCCATAAGAACGTATGCGAGCTGTCTTGCTCACCACTGTAGCCCCAGCGTCCTGGCACAGAGTGGAGAGATGGTCAAACACTTGCAAAAAAGGGAAGTAAGGAAAGAAGGAGGGGACTGATAACAGTCATACTACAAAGGTATCGAGAAAGATACTGAGAGCTAAGAACTCAAATTTATATTATTGACGGAGTATAACACGCCAGAGACCATTTTAAGCAGTTTACACGGCTTGACTCATTCAATTCTCATAACCTTGTCAAGTAGGGATTGTTATTATTCTTCCCACTTGACAGATGAGAAAAGGAGAGAGAGGCAAACTTACCCAGAGTGAGGCACAGAGAGAACTCGCCCAGGGTTACACAGGAAGTAAATGACAAAAAGCAAGATTTAAGGTCCAACCGTCCTGCTCCGAAGCCCATGCTGGCACAGGTGGAAGAGTGCGCTTTGTGAGGGAACTTGAGGGAGGGGAATTTCAAAGGAGGGACAGCTCTGTGGCCTCGGGAGGTGAAAGGAAGGTGAGGAAGTGGAAAGGGCAAGTGTGGACTGCTGTTACAAGGAGCTTAGTTAGAAAGAGAGAAGATAGAAGAGGAGCTGGAAGGAAACACAGGAGCGGCACAAGCTGTTTTGTATGTTTAATGAACAAGTCTGGAGCATGTGGACTCGATAGATTCTGTTTACATCACACTCCAGAATCGCTAAAAGAAAAATGAGGGGGTTGCATGAAAAGACTCACAAGCGACTTCCAGCTCTGATTCTGCTATTCCACAACTTTGAAATTCTTCCTCAGCTCAGCCAGATGGAACATTTCACTCCATAAAAGTAGTTGGAAAAATCATTTAATACACTTCTAAAGAGGTATTTAAATTGAAACCTAAGGGCCTATTTATTCTAGTTTCCTTATAATTCCTGATCTTTTCCCAGCCTGGTCTGTGACCCTGCTTGTTCCTATGAGGAACTAAAAGTTATCGTCTTGAGATTTGGCCTAATGACATGCTTTTTGCTTGCTTTCCTAAGGCTAGGAAAGAAACAGTCAAGGTTATCTGGGTTCCTATTCTTTTTCTCCATTGGCTTATACCTTTCATAATCTACCCCTCCTTTGACAGGGAAAGAAAAAACAAATGAGGTGCAGGTAGTTATAGAAAAGCCATGTTGCTTTCATAATGTGTCCTACACTAATGTAATCATTAGTGTTGTTTCCTATAATTCTCTCCGTATAAATATCCCTGGAAACATCTCAGCTCTTCTCCCAATCTTATATCTTTTTATTGTGCTAAACTTCTTCTTTTCTCCTCCTCCCAGGAGCAACCAGAGTGGACACGTACCAGTCCCAGAAATTACCCTGGAACTTCACTTGGCATCTGTACTCTCAGCACAAAGCCCTTTCTCGGCACACATCCTTCAGTTGCACATATTCCTATTTTTTTCATGCCTCTGCACACCTTTTCTATCTCCAGTTGCTCCTTTTCTTAGCCACACAATGTCAGTTTTTCAATTATCCACTAGAAGGGCTGGAAGACAGGGGAGAGATTGGCCGCAGAAAATATAGAACTCATTTCTTTTCTGGCTTTGGGATGTGTTTTCACACTTACCAAAACTGGTATATACCCAGTTTGGGAAAATCACAGCACTTTAAACAAAGTGAAGCTCTACTTGGAAGACTTGCCTCAAAAGGAGTTAGAAAGCTATCTACTTAGCACATCTTTGCTCTTGCTCATTTCTGTTCTGGGCACCCTTCCATACAATGGATGAATAGCGTTATCTCATAGACAAATGCAAATAATCTTCATAGAGAGATCTTTATTTTCCTCTCTAAAGCATGGTATCTTTCTAGCTCACAATTCCCTGGAGCAAAGTGATAATTAAAGTGTTTCAGGTTCAGAAGCATTCTCTCTAAAGTTCCCGATGAGCCAGCTTCAGACAGGAATGAGAGTAAACAGAGACAGCGATGATATCATAAGTGAATCAGGTTATAATGTTAATAAGAAGTTGGAAATAAGACGTGTCTGACTAGTATCAATAGTTGACTCTATTCACGTTTTCCCTGACACATGTGAATCCAAATCCCGTCATTCACGATCGTGGTTATTTTGGCAGGCATATGCGCCAAGCAAAGAAGAACAGAGCACAAATGAAGAATCTGTCAGCACTGTAACCTATATCATGATAGCGCCTCATTATAAAGAGATCTAAAACATTCTGTGACAGCAGGCAACCCTTCTAGAAATAGCAGAAATCTCTGCATCTCTGAATCCAAATAATGATTTGCATCCTTTATCTTTACAGGCTGTGCTTTTGAAACTATAAAGCATTTTAGAATACTCAGCAGTGGGAAACTCAAGTATTTCCCTTTATAGTTGAGCAGCATTTTTAAACATTGGCAACCCTGGGGATTCTAAACAATTTAATCAGCTTAATCCAGCCAGTGTTCCTTCATTTTACTCTCAGTACAAATCATTTTTACATTATTTGATATAATAAAAAATAAAGAATCACTTCTTTTTATTTTTTCTTATTTCTGCTTTTTTTCTTAGTCAAAAGAAAGCTGAAAATCTAATTTTTAGACACAGAAAATGTTCCATTGGCTAAGAAAATGGAACTTTTTAGCTTAAAACAATTAATTGGCGAATGACCAATGCAAATGCTTCCTATCTATTAAAAGTTTATATCCATTTTTACAAAGGCTAAAAAAAGGACTAGAACATGTGCTTTACGCGATCTGATAGCGTGAATTCATCTGTCTGTGAGAATGTGAGATTCCTCTGTAAGAGGAAACATTTCCTGTAAATGAGTTTTTGAATGGACCCATTTCCTGTATTCCTGTGGCACGATGCTTTCTGGCTTTTTGATGAGACCATCTCCTAGAACTTCTCATACTCTTTCCTGAGGGTCAGTGAGAAGAAGTTTTCCTTTGCTTTCTCTGGGAAGAAAGGCCCAAACAACTCTCAGACTGCTATTCTCTGTCGTGACCTCCTAGGGTCTTTCTCCCCTCTTAGCCCCCTGGGGTCCTGCCAAAGATTACCACTTGGTTTTAATCCAACTGCAACTTTTTAACTGAGGGCTCGGAGAGGCAACTTAAATTTTTATAACTTGTTTCTCTTGTTTTATAGAACATTAGATAAAAAGATTATTATGAAATATTGACTTTCAAACACCTAAATGGCCTTGGCCATGCTTTTATTGGCAGAGTCTAGGAGAACACTGTGGTCCCAAGACCCTCAAAGAGGCGGGCTCTTATTTCTGAGATGGATTTGGACCATATGCAATACATATAAGAAAGTTGTGTTTTCCCACCACAGTGGAAAACATCTGTTTTGCTAATGGATTTGACTCTATTTGCCAGAATAACTTTCCAGATGTTTTGAAAGCTCTAAACAACTGCAGCCTTTCTGATCTGCTCTGGCTCAGAAAT